CCACCGCGTTGTCCACATCATAAGCGCTGCCATTTCTGTTGCATTTGAGAAACATCAAACGGCAAACGAAACTAAAGCGAAATTAAACCGCGCTACGTTTCAGCTGCGCAGCGCGGACCGTTTATCAGCTCGGACCGCGACGCAAAAAAACTTGTTCGAGCTCAGAACAGCTTTACACGGGAGCCAAAGTTAATTTTGCGACACTGTTACTGCACAGATGCAACAGTGCTGCGAGATCCAGTGAGAAGCATTTGAATTCGCCGCACAATGATAAGGTTGCTGCGAGATCTAGTGAGAATCATTCAAATTCTGCACATAATTCTCTGTTATAAACAGCGCTGACATACACCTTTTTCTTGTCGTAAAAATGGGTTATAAAGCAAAACTTTTCTTCAATTTGCTACTAAATCACACATAATCACTGAAGTTGGTCAGTTCCATATTCTAGAAGAATAATGGTACATTTAATAAGAGTGAAATATATAAATTTTCTATATAAAAATTAGATTTTGCACCTGTTACTGTTGTTAATAAAAGTAAATTTTGTATGCATCTTAACTTAATCTCTGTGCTTTACTGTCAAATCTGTATAAACAATAAACAATAGAAAAATAAACAAGAAATGAACATGTAATATTATTAGTAACTGCACTTGATTATGATTAAATTATCTATATTTTAATACTCCCACACACCACCCCTAGCGCTACCAAATCTGCTCCTGGCGCCACCATCTGTAGAACTTAGTGGCGCTGGTGCCACTGCTCTCTAATGTTAGTCTGGAGCCCTGTCCCGGGTCCTCACCGCCACACCTCGTTCTTGTTCCGAGTTGGTCTCGAACCCGGGTCTCCAGCATGGGAGGCGGACGCGCTAACAAGGAGGCTAAAGACTGACGCTAAAGACGGCAGCCTCTAGCGTCAGTCGCTAGTGCATCTCTTGAGATCAAGGAATGAGGTTTACCTGCACAGCACCTACTCGCTGGCCTCCATTACACTCACCCCCCTAAACCTCACTCCCATCCGAGTCACGGCACCAATGTAACCCCTCACTCCCGGGTCCTCACCACCACACCTCGTTCTTGTTCTGAGTGGGTCTCCGGCATGGGTGACGGACGCACTAACAAGGAGGCTAAAGACTGCAGCCTCTAGCGTCAGTCGCTAGTGCGTCTCTTGAGATCAGGGGAGTGAGGTTTACCTGCACAGCACCTACTCGCTGGCCTCTGTTACATATGCAACAGCCACTTTTGTCTAATTAGCATCAGCTGTGACGAATTGTATGGAAGAACACTTCAGAGCGAATCAAGGTGCAGAGACACAACAGTGCCTAACACTGCTCCTGTTTCTGGGACAATGACCTCTTCATGTAGGAGCCCAGGACCACTGTCCCATTCCAGATATGCAAAATGTCCAATGATATCCATCCGTTCGTCAGTCAATAGTTCTATATCTATTTATCGCTGTTGTTCTATCTGTCTATGGAATTCAGTAAAGCAAATTCAGTGAATGTTGTTTTTTTGGCAAATATAGAAAATTTCTCCCATTTTATCAGTTAAATTTATTCATTTTTATATATATTTTTGATGATTTTTATTTTATTTATTTTCAAGTTAATTATTATTTTCTATCTACAGGATATATTCATACATAGTAATAATTTCGATAGCGTGGCTGTCTTTTTCCGTGGCTTTTTTGTGCTCTATTTCATAATCTATTTGTGCAGAAAGTGTGCTTGAGTGTGAAAGAAAACAAGCAGGGAAAAAAGAGGGAAAGGGAGAATAAGGAGCCTTGGCATTTTTATTGCGCTTGTACATTTGAGGATCAAACTAATTAAGCAAATAAATCTTGGGGTCGGTTTACACTGCCGGCAATTTGAGCTTCTTTGCTTCCATTGATCGTCGCTCTTCGCCTGGCTGAGCATAACTGACCTGCAGAGAGTGAAATTGAGATATTGCACATGTAAGAATCTCTGAGGGGTGTGCTTGACATAGAGCCATGCCATCGGTTTCAACGCCCAAAGGCTCACGCTAGAGCCATAAACAAGATTTAAAAACTTTGAACATCAAGCAGTTTGATGTCCTTCCACTTTACAAGGTTGTTGTGTTATCATGAAACAGTGGCTAGCAAGGAAAACGGTCTTCAGATTAACCCTACATAGGTCTCAATGGATTCGCTTTGTTCCACCAGTCTAAGGTAAAACGCTTTTACTTTGCAAAACATAGAACACAGTATTAATAATTCAAGGCAAGGTTTGTAAAGTGAGACTTATATTTTATCATTATAATGAGAGATTCATAGCTGGTTATTTTTCCTCGCTTGCTGTTTTGTCTGTGTTGCAAATCTCAGTTAAGCTACTGTAGGTGTTTTTAAAATTCCCTTTGAACATCCTGGTCAATTCCAGGGCTCAATGCATCAGACAATGATACATTTACAGCAGATCCCAGTGGCCAGTGTGAATAATTAAGGAGAATCAAAGCCTTGCAGAGATGGCTCTGTCCTGTCCAATTAATCTTTCACTGATCATTTCAGCGCTTAGAAAGTCTTCCTCTGCTGGGACTAGAGAATGTTGGTCACTCCCACTTTGTATTGACCAGTAAAGAACTCCCTGTGACTGATAAACACAGAGTAGCTGCCAAAAAACTTTCAAACTGGGTAGCAGCAGCTTAGCTGATAGCCGATTGATTAGTCTCATATGAGGACCCTTTGTGGTTACTGGTTTCTAAATCCTTCACATCACCTTGAACAAAAGATAAAAACACAATTTTTATGCCAAAAAAACTATACTGTAAGAAACACCCACTGGCCCATTGACAGAACTTTTTTTTAGTTTTCACAGTTTCTTTGGTACATTTCTTGAATCATCCTTAAAGGTGACATATCATGAAAATCTGACTTTTCCAGGTTTTAAGTGCTATAATCAGGTCCTCTGTGCATCTACCAACCAAGGAAACGTGAAAAAGATTAACCCATTAACTTTGTTTTGGTATGTCTTTTTCTGCAAGCATCTGAAAAAATGAGCGCGTCTGATTTCGCTCCCCTAGTGACATTGCAAACTGATCTCATTATAATATTACCGCCCCTTAATCTGCACGTATCCACCCACGGCGCCATCATTTGATTTCACAAGCGACAACGTAGAGGTCTGCATTCCCGCGGCTCGACCCGACCGGATTTTTTGCGCCGCGGGATTAAATTCCCGAATAAAACGCGGTAGCGGTCAGTAACTCTGGTTTAATTTGAACCGGAGCTGGCGATCTAACAATTTCCCGTTCCCGACGTCCATTTAGAACAGCATATCTGCGCTTTATTCTTACTGACCACCGGTACAGTTTGCGCTCAGGATTGTTATGCACGCATGCTTTAAACGTCACGCGTTTTATTTGCGGGGGTCTGTGCGCAGCATGTGCATAACGATGCTCTATTTATGTGCTTCACAGCCTTGAAGATGTCCTGACATTCCTTAAAGAGCAAGTTGACACAACAACAGAGTTTAAGTTGTGTGTCGACAGAGAAGACCTTCCAGAGAGAGGCATTATTCAATGGAAAAGAAAGAAAACAGCATCTCCCGTCAGTCTGCTCAAGGTAGTCTTTATAGGAGAGTCAGGCATTGATACTGGCTCTCAGAAAGGAATTTCTGACTGGTGAGTTATTTTTACTTATTTTCTAGATTTTTTATCTGATATAACAAGAAGTCATTAACAAAAAATGCTCTTTGCTTAAGACATGATTTCAGGGATTGAAAACCGGTTCTTTGAGGGAACTGGGAGCCAGGGAAAAAATCCTAAATACTCTTTAACTGACCTTGATGAAGATAATTTCAGGTGGGTAATGCAGTCATCTATCAAAGTTAATTTATGTTAATGCATTGAAAAAGACGGACATGCTTATGTAGTTTTACGGTTGGTCCTTTATTGGTTGTCCTTTTACAAACAGAATAGTTGGAGAAATATTTGCAGTCAGTCTTACACAAGGGGGCCCTGCTCCCGCATTCCTGAGGGAGTGGTGCTACAACTTTCTCTGTGCAGGAGAAGTTAACTTCAGTTGTCTGAGCAAGGAGGATGTAATGGATCTGGAATCTTCTCTTCTCATCTGTAGGGTAAGCAATCATTTGAACTCAATGTAGAATGTGTGTCAGGTTCATATATTTAAGATGATCCTTAACCATCTCTTCCACTATTGAATTTTGCAGGTTGAAGATGCTGCAGATACAGAATCTCTAATGATGTTGGCTGATGAAATTGTTAGTTGTGGGTACACTAGTCAGATTAATCATGAGCAGAAAGAAAGCATCATTCGGTGAGTTTATTTTTTTTATTTGTTTTTTTGGCATTGTCATTTGTTTGTTTTTAAAACATTGTCTGTTTTTCTTTAGTGCTATTGTCTTACACTCTACAACAAGACTGATTCCAATTCTGCAGCAACTTCAAAATGGCATGCAACTGTATGGCCTGGTGGATCAATTGAGTAAAAACTCTGAATTATGCAAACCACTGTTTGTTCCAGGAAAGATAACAAAAGTATGTTAAATATTTTATAATTTCAATTCCAGTAGTATTTTCTTTATTTTTAGAAAGGTAATCACCAAATTGATTTCTTTTTTTCTATTTTTTGTTTTGTAGCCTGATGCAGACTTCATCATGATGAACTGTCAGCCACAATACAGTGAAAAGGGAACGTCAAAAGAGAGAATTGAGAGGAAGGTGACTAACTTCCTTCAAGACTTCCTGCAAGAGCTTGATGTGGCAGGTAAATTTTAGTTTTGTCTGTTTTGCTGTGCTTTTCTAACGGAATTACCTTATGTACCTGTTTGTTTATATAACCAAGGTTAGACACCACTTTTATTAAAGCTGTACTGCTTTGTTCGAAGACCTAAAATAAGAATTGTTTCTTTTATATTTTTATTTAAAGTTGATGTGTCCAATGCTGATGAGGAAGGAGATACAGTTCTTGGTGGCGCACAACCCCTCTCTGTCCAACAGGTTCTCCAGTGGATGACCGGGCAGTCCCACATCCCTATCCTCCCAGATGAAAAGAGACAGTTCAAAATTACATGTAATTTTGATCACGATTGTAAATATACGGCCCTCAGACAGAACAGGCAGGTTGTCGATGAGTGACAGAGCAGAATAAGGATGGAGCAAAGTGTGGATGTGCTGTCCTTGAAAGACGTTCAACTCGGTTTTGTTTATATTTTGCTTAGCCTATAATTTTAAATGAAAGCTGTCGTATTTATTTATTTTTCTCTGTGACACTTTTCCTACTGTGTTAACAGAAAAATGTCAAACGAATTTAGTATTTTGAAAAGACGAATAAAAATAGCTAATAGGCTATTTTTCTTCAACCTACATTTTTTTCTCTCTCTCTGCGACACTTTTTCCCTATTGTGTTGTCAATGTTAAATGAATTGTATCCTGACAAGATGAATAAAAATAATAAAATTTTTGTACAACATTTTTATTTTCTCTGCCACTTTTTTTCCTACTGTGTTGCATAAAATATTAAATGAATTTTGTGTCTTAAGATAATTCATATAAATTCAAGTCAAAGTCAATAAATTCAAGACTCTTGACAAGACGAATGCGGGTGAACAAAGAGTGAATATATAGCGGGAGCGGGTGGGTGCGGAATAGAACCTTGCAGGAGCGGGACTAAAAAAACAGTCCCGCGCAAACCTCTAGGACAACGGTGTACCTGTACCAGCTCTAATGCCATGGAAACATGCTAACTGTTTTGTCTTTGGCTGCACATTAGTTTAGTACTCACATGCTGTGACAGCCACTTTCTGTCTGTGTGCTTCTTATGTGTGCACTCAGAAAACTGTATATCAGAAGCTTAAACTAATATGGTTTAAAACGCATGATTTCAGCAAGATAAACATGATAATTGGAACCAAAACAGATGCTTTTAGCAGGTAGGAGCTGTAAAGGCACAGCTCTATTCTGGAAAAGGGGGCGGGGAGCAGCAGCTCATTCGCATTTAAAGAGAAAGGCACGAAAAACAGCGTTTTTCTGCTTCCACTCAAAATAGTCATTTTCAAAATTATATAATAAAAGATCTGTGGGGTATTTTGAGCTGAAACTTCACAGATACATTCTGGGGACACATGAGACTTATATTACATATTGTAAAAAGGGGCATAATATGTCCTCTTTAACATTTGCAAACCAGCAAGCATTTCTCAAAACAATTCAAACAAACAGCTCCACACAATGGATTGCCTGGAAAGGCCTGTAATCTTTAGGTCATCTCTCAAAATGTATGTCAATGAACATATCAGTGCCATCAAAATGACAAGTCCTTGGTTCATTGTTCATAAACAAGATGTTTCACAAGTCAAAATGTTTAGCAATGTTGTCAATATAACAGTATACTCTTTCAGTATTTCCTGATGTGAACTATGGCTATAGTTAGGGATGGGTATCGTTAAGGTTTTAATGGTACTTTTAATAGCTGAAACAGTAGTATAAGCTGTTTTGGGAGAAGGGGAAAAAAGACGAGGGGAAAAAAAGCTCTGGCAGTTTGTTCAAAAGGATGAGAAAATGACTAGATGATGTGGACATTGAAGTAGTTTTAAGATTTTTTTGTTGTGATCTGAGAAATGTACCAACATGGATAATAATATTTCTTTCTTAATAATATTTCATTATTATTATTTTAGTTTTTCTATTTTGTTTATTTGAATTACTTTTCAGTATAATTATTCTATTCAAATTCATTTTAACTATTGATTATTAGTAGCCTATATCTAAATCCATAAAAAAAAACTCAAATTCAAGCTGATATTCCAGTTATAGTCTGATTAGCATTTTAGTTGTGCTCTTTATTTAGATATTTAATTAATGTAGATATTATTATACTTTAAAATATTCCCATTTAGGACCAAGCGTCACACAGTCTTACTTGATGTAGTGAATCTGGCGGTCACAAACCTGCTAATATGATCTATAGTTAGAAGTTAAAATGTTAAATAATAACATAAATTTACAGTAACTCTTCACAGCACCTACTACATGGTGATTTCAGAATAATTCAGAATAAAGTTTAACCATTTATTTTCCAGGTCGAATAAAAGGTCAGTTAAAAAAAAAAAATTAACGATAAATCCAAAATTAATTTAGATGATCAGCATAAAAAATTAAATCATAAAAATAAAAAATCACCAAAAGACATGCAAACTTGTACACAAAGGGTCATGAACATCTAAAGACTAAGGATGCAGAAACATCACCCTTCTAAAGTTATACGTTTCTAAAGTGCATAGTGATCTGAGGAAACACTAAGACTTCTGCCATGTAAATGCCTCATACAACCAAAGGCATAAAAAAACCCTCAAAGCTTTTTTCTTTCATCATGTATTTTGTAATATCATACTCTTCTTCCAAACATTTTCACTTACCCCGCAGAAGGAAAGACACTATTATCAGCTATGCAAGATGAAAGACTGTTATCTCTGCAAATGAGATTCAGTGGATAAGGCCCCTGAAAAGATGCAGTGAGCAGGATCATTTTGTGTGGTTAATAAGTGACTTTGATTCGGAGATATTCAGAAAGACCAGTGCTCCTCTCTTCCTCCGGGAAGAAAAAGCAATCCGCTCATTTCTTTCTGACACTGCTGTTTTGAATAACAATTACTGTACATCTGCCGGATTCTCAGGGAGATATTTCTCTCTCTCTTTCTCCTTCTCTGGGACTGTTCATTTCACACACTTTGATGGAAGATTTATTTCAATTTCTGGTATGAGAGCAGCCATGTCAGTAGGCGTCTGTAGGATGTTTCAGTATTTGGATACAGTTTCTTAACCTGTTTCCAAATGCTAAATGTATGTGTTTTCCAGTCGACTGCATATATAGCACAAATATAGTAAACATTCTTTACTTTTAGATTAACCCTCTGCTGTTATAAGTCCCCCACTCCTGCATCCCTCAATCTGTCAGGTGCTCTGCAGGGATGAAGCTGGTGATTTTCATTAACCTGTGCCCTGCCTGCCTGTGTGCTGTTCAGGGACAAAAGGACCTCTGGGCTTGCTGTCTGTCCTGAGTCATGGAGAGCTCAATCATGCGCCCTGCAGGACCCCACACACTGCGTGATGGATGCAATGGCCTCGAGGGAGATTTAAAGGGTCTTCATATACTCTGACTCAGCAGGGGACAGCAAGACATTTCCCGTAATCCTGTATGTACTTCATATTCTTGATGCAGCTGTAAAGAGCATCTATCTATCTATCTATCTATCAAAATACATATACATACATATACAAATACATACATATATAAATATACATATTTACATATCAGTTCATATAATAAAATACTGTAAATTAAATGAAATACATTCAATTATTTTAATAAATTATATATATATATATAATATATAACAATACATTAAATATAAAATATTACTGTAAACAAATATATAATATACTGTAAACATACAAATATATAATATATTTTGTCTGGCAAAAGTGAGTTAGTACAGTTTGTATTTAACATAATTATTTAATTATTTTTATTAAAAAATAATATTTATACTTTATTATTCAGTATTATTTAAATATTTTTTTATGAGTGCTTAGATATATGTATGTTTATTTAAATGTACCTTTTTTAAGTAACTAAAATTCGGTTTTTGCAAAAGTTTATCCTTATCAAGTTTTTTGTGTAATTGTAATTTCTTTGGAATTATCTACACGTCTATGTATCTTCTTACTCAAAATACCTGTTTAGTGAAAGAAGGGTCTAATGTCACAAGCACACAGGTTTTAGAGCTCAGTCTGACATTTATAACACATACCTTACAGTAATGGAAGAAAAATATTTACTGTCCAATCCACTATTAGGCCTGGAGGTTATTCTCTCGCATTGACAAAATGCATGCACATCATATCATATCATGAATGCAAAGTCAGTTTTAGACAGCAGGCGGAAAGAGTTTAGAAGAGAAAGACGCTTCGAATGTCTGTACATATCAATCCATTTCAAACCTCAAACCAGACACCATGAAGAATTCCCACATTTGACAAGATGTTTGTTTTTTATGCCTCCAGCACAAATCTGTTTTCAGTGTTTTTCACACTCATGCATTTTTAAGTGCCTTGCGGGTCTCCAGCTTTACTCCAGTGATCACAACATGTTAAAAATCTAAGTAGTCATCTTATATATTCACACTACATGAGTCTATTACCCCTGAGCTCTTATTATTAATTAAAAAGAATGCTGTTTATTTGTAATGTCTGAACCAAAACCATTGTGTTTGATGAAAACCGCTGACAGCCACAATCACATCCACATTTTTTTTAGTTTTCGCCACATTTAAAAAAACAAAAAAGTGCAGGAGCTTTAAGCTGTTAAGTTAATGTATACAACATGTTTTCAAAACCCACTGTTTCACTGACTTCTGCGAAAATGGTATGCATGCAAAATTAATTAGATGACAGTAACACAGAGTACTTCAATTGGAAGGACACCTACATGACATGGTGGGTTTGCATTTAATTGCCTGGCAACCAAAGAATAATTCATTTGTTTCAAATTATTTTTTCCCCACAACAAGAAAATGATTATATATCCGATTAGTCATAAAAATAAGGGCTAATGAGATGGATGGTGCACTTGACATTGAATTTGTTGAAAATGCTCTAGGGAAGGTGACTTAAATTTCCTTGGATGAGAAGAAATTGGGTATGTCCACTGTACTTCTGAATGTCATCTTAAATGTAACATTACAGCTCTCATAAATACTTTTTGACAGCTTTTGGCCTCATTTCTGTGTATATCTCCATCACCTTGTTCAAAAACATGTCAATGTGAATTGCCATTGACAACCAATTTGACTTCTGTAATGTAATGTAACAAGACATTTATTGACAAAACATGTAGAGTAGAAATCGATTGGATTATCAGACATTTTACACACTGAATTACACACAAGAATGGAGTTAGAGCAAATGAGTGTTTGCTAAAATAGCTAAATGGCTATTTGTGACCCGTGCTGGCAAAGTCGGAATGCGCACAGGCTAATTTTGAGCTACAGGCAAAATAAGTGAAAAATGTCGATTTTAGGCGATTTTGAGGTTTTCACAAAAATTTGTTTATTAAGCCCTCGTCTAGCGATCCCAATGCTCCAAATAATAATTTTACATGTTTAATTACCTTTATTTGTACGTTTTCTGAGAGGAGTACCCTTTCTCCGCTCACTTCTCACGCTGACTGTCATCCGAAGTGCGCGCATAAAGGCGCTTCCGACTGCGCAGGATACCGATACATAAACACATAATCACATTATTTAAGTATTCACGCAAACATAATCTGGTATGTCTTAAGTGAACGTTTGGGGAACTGTTGGGGAAAAACATTTGATGTGTGGCATTATTTTATTTCCGTGCATTACAGTAGGTCTTAATATAGGCCGCCTCATTAAAGTTAAAATTTAACAACAAAAGAAAAGAGGGAATCACTCGCTGCTCTTGATTGAACTGCTTTTGAAAGTTTTAATAAATCAATTTATTTGTAATGAACACACTAAAGGGATTTTTACATTGCATTATTTGTTTTTCTTACTTGAATGCTTTTGTTTATATGTAAAATGAAAAAGGTAATGCATTATTTGTTTCTTTCTTATATTCTAGTTTTTTTTTTTGCATCTGTTCTTATTTATAATAACAAAGATAAAATAAAAATAGCTATATTGTGATTTATAAATATAGTAATTATTATTAAGAAAAGAAGTGGAGGAAAAGATTCAACCTTGCAGGTAATTTTGCTTTGGAACCTTCAGAAAACTTTAAAGGGGTCATGTGATTACTTACAGTCTTTGAGTCAGAACAGCCGGCATTGTAGTCTACTCTTCCAGGATCAGGAAACAGTCCTCCATAAAATGCGCTGCACACATCTGAATATTTGGGTTGAACTGTTCTGGAACAGTGTTGTAAATACAACTTAACCACTGATTTCTAATCATGTCCTCTTTTGGAAGGCCAAACAAAGTAGTTTCGCTTTCACAACGAAACACACGGCGGCCTAGAGTGAGCGGCGATGGGCCGGCTTGAGGATTTGACGAAGGAGCGTCCGGCGGGCTTGTGGCAACCACATTTGATGACCCCGGGCTGGACTCCACTTCGTCCACGGTGAAAGCCGATCCGGCGATCAACAGCATGAAGTTGATGTATTTCCTCATCTTGAATGCTTTTGTTTATATGTAAAATGAAAAAGGTAATGCATTATTTGTTTCTTTCTTATATTCTAGTTTTTTTTTTTGCATCTGTTCTTATTTATAATAACAAAGATAAAATAAAAATAGCTATATTGTGATTTATAAATATAGTAATTATTATTAAGAAAAGAAGTGGAGGAAAAGATTCAACCTTGCAGGTAATTTTGCTTTGGAACCTTCAGAAAATTTGGATTTGAGACTTTAGTCTTTGCAACTTTACAGATCTTCTTTATGCACCAAGAGCTTGTAACACTCCAAAGAGAAAGGAAAATTTGAAATCGCATCATATGATCCCTTTAACTCGATTTTTCTCAAAATTTACTTTGCCGACTATATTGACTTCAAACAGGTGTAGCTCAGTCATTTTTTGTCCGATTCCAACAAATCATACATCATTTTGAAGGTCTTTTAATTGAGAATGTGAACATAAAAATAACTCATTTTTGAAAATTTGCTCATTGTGACTCATTTTGCCAGATATCATTATCCAATAATCCAATAACATTATCCAATAACCCTTTCAGTCTAATTGACAAAGGCAGGAAAAGAAATAGAGGAAGATTGCAAAGACAAAAAAAAATTTGATTTTTTTTTTTTTTGGAATAATGTGGACTGATTAATTGTTCACTATAAAAACAAGTAATGTAATGTTAATGTGAGTTTTGAGGTCATCTTCAGTTCTTCTTTCATGAGGGTAAATTAGGATATAAATCTTATCCTAAATTCTCAACAAAATTATGAACTTTCAGAACCCACTGGAGAATCTCTGCTCTGTTTGGATTGGAGGTCTGTGCTGCCTTGAGACCAGGTGTGTCAGGATGATTTGATATGGGCTCAGGTGTTTTCCTCCACATCTGTAGAATCAGAGATTGGAGAAAATGACTTTCCAATAGAAGTAATTTTACAGACAAACTGAGCGAGACAGACAGGTGATAGTTAAGGTCCAGGTCAGGCATAATGATGGACGACTAACCAAAACAAAGTAAGAAACAGTTGTGATTTTGTTTGTGTGCTGCTGTTAAATGAAACATCAGGCACAGACATAGTCCGCATAATTGATTAATTATGCAGCTGCTTATTCATGTGCTTATGAAAACTATGAATGATACATCAATCAGGGTTTTTTAGTCACATAAAGCAGATATGCAGTAAGTGGCATACGGCCTCCAAATATTTCAGTCCTCTTCCTACACAAAGATTTTTAACCTCTTGTACTTTTGTTGCAACAAAAAGTTTTAACTTTAACAAATTTATGTCTAGTGCTATTAAACTATGTTTTCTGTAATTGAAATCAAACTGAAATAAAAGAAACTATAAATATTAGAAGAAAAACTTAAAAAATAGAAATAAATTAAATAAAATAATAATAATAACAACTATAATAATAAAAACTATATAATATGTAATAATAATATGCAAATAATGCTAAAATAACACCAGAGCCTGGGATATTTCAGTTTGATGCTTCAGAACAGTCTTTGTAAAGAGACACTTATTTTATAACACATATTTTTGGAATAATTAAAAAGGCAAGATTAAAAAAAATTATAATGACAATCTCGTTTACCTTAAAAATGCAGTTAATTGTGAAATGTAATCAGTAGCCGTGATAAGAAAGAAAGAAAAAAAGGTAAGACATTGTCCTACTTTTGCTGCTGTCTCTCCGTGGCTTTAGCATTAAGCTCTGAGCATGTCCGCTGAGTGACAGAAAGAAAATTGCTCTGAGATGAAAGAAAAGAAATG